CTATTTTTCTTTTTTCCCGAAATTTGTTCTCTTTGCTTTTTTTTCGATTTTTTTTTTCTCTTTGCTTCTTCTCAATTTACTTCGTCTTCTACTTCTCCCTTTGCTTGCACGGTCGTCGTCGTCTCATAGTCACCATCGTTCCACAGTCGCTGTCGTCCACAACCCATAGTTCAAGCTGCGAAGTCATTGTCTCTCATCGGTGCTTGTCGAAAATGATTGGAATTGGCTGCGATGCTAGATTGGAGTTGTTGTGTGTGGCTATGACGTTCGGGGATTGAATTAGTTGTAGGCGCTAGGATGGTTGGTGGTTGTGGATGTCGCTTGGGTGGTCGATGGTTGTGGCTAGCGCTTGGGTGGTTGCACGCTTTGGTTGTTGCAGGCACTTGGGTCGGGACTGCCTTGTCCTCCCTTTCCAAGCAGGTCTCACTAAGAACACCTAAGGAGTGTTTTTGGTGGGGCCAATATTAACAGTCCCACTTAAAACTATAGCCAAGTGAAAACAAACATGGGATAAAAATTTGTGTAGTCCAATCCAAGCCTAGAAGGTGTAACAAACAAGCCCTAAGGGGTTTAAGGCTAATACAAACAAAGATTGTTTGGATGTGTTAATTGTTCTTGTTAATTCATATTTTCAGTTAACATTGGTTAATCAATGACTAATAAGCATTAAGGTTTTTGTTTCAAGCTTGTAAGGTAGAAGGTAAATGAAAGGAAATTGCATTGGTTCATTGATTTACTATATGAGGTTATTCCCAAAAGTGTTAATGGGAAATTTGATACGATTTTGGTCATGCTGTTCATTTTTTATATGCAAAATCAGTGGGAGCCAAGTTTTATTCCACTTAATTTCATTATTTTCTTGGAGACAGTTCAATTCTTTTGTTTGCTATTGTTTGGTTCAATTCTTTTAATAAATTATGTGACTTCAGTTTTATGTTTATTATTCTTGAGAAATGAATCCAGTTACATGTCATCATACAGTATAGCTAGCTACAGTCACTGCATAAGACATGAATTCATACCAGAGTCATTAAGGAGAGATCTTGGTAATCTCTAAAGGGAGGGCGTATGAATGAAAGTGACCTTTGTAAACACAAATTAAGTTTGGTCATGATCATTCTGCATTCTAGTCTTGACGGAAGTCTCATGTGATGTTGAGAACTTGTATGTGTAATTATAAAGACCTTGAAATATTGAAATGTTCAATAAGTCTTGATAGTTTCGTGCTTGTTCTTTTGATTGACAGTGACTTTATTAGGAATTATAGTTGAGTTGAATTCTATAGGCCTTACAGTAATTGATATTGAGTTCTTGATGATCATTAGACCAAGTGGGAGACTGTTAGACATATAGATGTCTAACTTATTAAAGTGTGGTCTTATAATCATTAAAGGATTCTAAGGCTTGATATCAATTAGGAGTTCAAATACAAGTAAACCTGCAGATCTATTAAAGTTAGTGTTTTAAGGCTAATATAAGAGCTAGAAGGATTCCTATCTTAATTGTGGATTAGAAGTTATAAACCTAATGCAATAAGGACTTCTTAAGAGCTTCTTGATGGGCAAGACTCTTAGGAAGATGCATATAAATACAAGTGCCCCTGCTCAACCGATCAAGCCAACCCACACAAAAGAATTCACCCCATCTAGAATGAGTGTATGAAGGGATCATATTGAGGAAATGTGCTCTTGTATATTCTTGATGTGTGTTCTATCATATGTAGTCATTATAGTTTACATCTGTCACCATATATATTTTTTGGTAAGCTTCCATTGCCAAACCACCAATAAACCATTTATAAATTTAATAGGTCCACAACAACTTTGGAATAATTTCTTTTTCAAAAAAGAGATCGTACATCAAAAGTTCTAACGTATGGAAAACAAGTCAAAAAAATTAAAAAATTAAAAAGATTAAAAGAAGAGATGCATTATTTCTAACAAAGATATATAAGCACCAATTAGAATGAAAAAACATAGGTCCCTCTCACTTTGAATAATTTGATTTGTATCTCGACTATAATGTTCTTGTTTACATTGGGATGAATAATATTATAATAATAAACTATTCTAAAACAAGATTTTTATTTTATTTTTTATTTTTAAACTTTGATTTGATCTCGACAATGAGGATAAAGCTTGTCTCTTGGTTCTTTTGAGGCACTAATCTTTGTAATCTACTTTATTAACGATGCTTTTTTGGATTTTTCAGCATAAGTTCCTTTCCTCACCTACCATCTTTTTCACTAATGATAGTTTTTTTTCTCTCGTAAATGCCTTAAGCATATTATAATAAAAATATGTTTTTTTCTCCTCACCATTATTATGATTACAACCTTTGTCGATATTATTTTTGGACAATTAATGGCATTCCCAATAAGGTACGATGTTGTTATAATAAAGAGAAATATTTACAGTGCAATAGTGGATATATCACTTGCTATAGTTGTGAATAAAGTATAACAAAGTGTGGCCTCACGCCCACGCTCATGCTCATATGCTCATGCTTGTGCATATACTTTTTTATGTCTTTAGCTTTTGTTTAAGTTTATTGTATTCATAAATTAGACACAAAGACCATTAGTCAAAAGATCAAATATAAATATCCGCAAATGAATAATACAAATATGGAACAGTAACCACACAGAGTTGATCTAGATACATACCACAAAATGCCAAACATTTTTCTTTTTTAATGTGATCGTAAGTGTGACATAATATGAACCTCACATGTTTGTATCAAACTGTTTTACTATGGAAGCCTATAAGTTTAGTTGAAAAAAAAAAAAAAACCAACATTTAATACAGTCATTATATGTTAGGACTTCCGTTAAAACTTGACATCGACCTATCAGCTTCGCATGACGTTCCCAATTGGGCCCTAGACTAAATGAAACGTGGCCACTTAGGCCATCTCTAGGTGCGGAGGGCTAATTTAGCCCTCTAATAAATGATTTTATAAGGAATCCTGTAATGCTATATTTTAACCATCTCCATTAGCAAAAGGCTAAAATTAATATTTTAATAGTTTTTAGTATATTATGTAAATTTATTAGTTAATTTAATTACACTACTATTTATATCCTATTTAAGAATACATTTTAGAAGAGAAAAATATCTTGGGATAGGATTTTTGACATTAGCTAGTTGTTTATGTTTGCAATTAATAATAATTGACAATACATTATGATGTTCAAGTCTTCTATGTTTGCAATTAATAATAATTGACAATAAATTATGATGTTCAAGTCTTCATCTTGCTTTAAAAACAACTTTGACGTTTACAACCAATAATAATTGACAATACATTGTCATGCTCAAGTCTTTGTCTTGTTTTGAAAAACAACTTAAAAATTAATTTAAGTGGAAAAAAATGATTAAAAAATGAAGGATAGTTTGTAAAAGAATGTGAGAAATTATGTAAAATGATGAAATTGAGAAAGCCTATGTAAAATGATGAAGATATGAGAACCTATGTAAGAATGAGGTAGATATTTATACAACAAGAATTTAGGAATTTTTTTTATTTTTTAAAAAAAATCCTTTTTTTGGGATTTAAAAAAAATAGTAATAAATGGCTAGGTAACATCAGCTGGGCTCATCCAATTATTTAGCACTAGCTAGCCAAAGTGCCACATGTGGCCTGATTTTTAGGAATTGGCCCTTTGTGTAACCCTCCTCCTTGTTTTTTTTGGTAGTCCACTCTTGGAGATGAGTTTGGGAATTTTGGGCTATATTTGAGGATATAGCCCTCACTTGGAGATAGCCTAAGGCCATCTTTAGGTGGGGAGGGCTATATTTAGTCTCGGGCTACATTTAGCCCTCTAAAAATGATTTTATAAGAAATAGTGTCAAGATACACTCTAAAAATGATTTTCTAAAAAGGCTCTTGGGCCCCATCCAATTATTTAGTTCGGGTTGGCCAAAGGGGCGCATGTGGTCCTCATTTTAGGAATTGGCCCTTTATGTAGTCCTCCTTTTTTTTAGGTGGGATTTCATTTAGTCTGGGGCTCACTTGGGACACGTCATGCGAAGTTGGTGGGTCCACATAAGCTTTTAACGGAGGTCCTGACAGATTAATTAACGGATGTATTAAATCGGTACGGAATTAAACATTATATATGCGACTGAGACGAAAAAACCTTCATGTATCAGAGGTTGAAACTCGGAAAACTTTATATTAGTAAAATAAAAATTACCCTAAATTTTATTTTTATGAAGAATCCAAACAAGTGGAATTGGTGTACGTCAATTTAGAGATTCAAGCTTATTTCCCTCTTTCAAAATGCATGATAAAAGCGGAATGAGAAATTCATTAAGATATGGAAAGATTTCAATTGAACTCACGGTTATTAGTGGGCCATGTTGCATGGAATGGTGATTGAAAACAAGAATCTCGCATATTACCTTTTTTTGGGTTTACTTGAGTTTGTATAAAATTGAAAATAGTAAATAATGTTGAAAGTATTATTTTGGTTTTGGCTGAAGAATGGCGTAGTTGAATATTCAATATTGTATCCTTGTGATGAATATAGGCTAAAGTCTTTTGTCACATGTATAGAATAGACTGCCGGAAACTTTTTTTTTTTTTTTTTTTGGGTCGAAAGACTGCAGGAAACATAATTGCATTGATTTTGTTCTTTGGATACAAGCGATATTGGGAGAGGGGAGAATCGAACCTAAGATCTTCGATGTAAGAATAAATACTCTTAACCAATTGAACTAGAAACATTTACATTATTTTTATCAGAGTAGGTAAATAAGAGCCAAAAAAACAAAAAAAAACAAAAAAAATTAGAAGAGGGTTTTGGATACAAGCGATATTGGGAGAGGGGAGAATCGAACCTAAGATCTTCGATGTAAGAATAAATACTCTTAACCAACTGAACTACAAACCTGTACATCATTTTTATCAAAGTAGGTAAATAAGATCCAAAAAAATAAAATAAAACAAAAAAAATTAAAGAGGGTTGAGCCAAACATTTATCTCTCCACGAACGTTTTCCCTCTCTGTCTCTGTCTCTCTCCTCTTCAATTCTCTGCCATTAACGAGGGGTTCTTTTCTGGAAAAAAAATAATTATTACGAAAATGCCTCTCTGGCTCCGCCTCTCACTCTCATCACTCTGTTCTCGTATCGCTTTTTCTCCCTTGCAAAGAAAGCGTTTTGTTTCTCTCTCCTCCTCTGCCTTTAAACCCACCCAGGCCTATATATATCTGTACATAGCCGCCAATAGCCCTGAGCTGTGTTTTGCTTTTCCTCACTCACTGAAATTTCATATCAAGCAAATAAAAAGAAAAAAAAGCAACCCCCAACTTTGTACTATGCTTTCTTTCTATTGACTTCTGAGTTTACTCCTTAATAACTGTCCTCTTGCCTTTTCTGCTTCTCTCATTATTTGATTGTTGCCTCTGCATTTTAAGCCTTTACCTTTTCTGCTTCTCAGTCCTTGCCTTACTCTTTGGGCTGGAAAGATATAGAAGAAGCTAACAAAAAGTGAGTTCTCTTTTTCTCCACAATCTTTTGGTTTCTTATCTGATTCTTGCTCTGATTGATTCACCAAGTAAAGGGTACCACTTCAAATTTTGGGGGCCTTGCTTTTGATCACTCTAAGCTAAAGAAAGGCCTCATTTTTATTGGGTTCCATTTCTTTTTTGTTGGGTTGGGTGAGTTTCATGCCATGTTCCAACTGGTTGATACAACTTTTTTCTTTTTGAAGATCACTTGACATATATATTAGGTAGGAGGAGTCACCAATATCTCCTTCAGACCATTTTATTGGTCATCAAAGAAAACAAAAATGGCAGATAAATACCCTGATATTTGTTCCCACAAAGTCCCTTCTGCTTCACAGGTACTAATTTAATCAACCCATATCCTAAATTTTCATTTTTCACATCTGTTTATACATATCATGTCTCTGTTTTTGCTGCCTCTAGTGCTCTCTTTTGCTTGAAAAAAACATTAATTTGAACTTTACAGGTATTAGAAGAACTAAGAGAACTATGGGGCATGGCTTTTCCCATAACAGCCATGAACTGTTTGGTTTTTGTCCGAGCTGTGGTTTCAGTCCTATTTCTAGGCAGGCTTGGAAGCCTAGAGCTAGCAGGAGGTGCCCTCTCCATAGGCTTCACCAACATCACTGGCTACTCTGTGTTGGTGGGTCTTGCCTCAGGCCTAGAACCTGTTTGTAGCCAAGCCTATGGGAACAAAAATTGGGAGCTTCTCACTCTGTCCCTTCAAAGAATGGTCCTGATCCTTCTCTTGGCAATAATACCCATCAGCCTCTTATGGCTCAATCTTGAAACAATCATGGTGTTCATGGGACAAGACAAAGCAATCACATCAATGGCTGCCACTTACTGTTTGTATTCCATCCCAGACTTGTTAACAAACACAGTTTTGCAGCCTTTGAGGGTTTTTTTGAGGTCACAGAAAGTGACCAAGCCAATGATGTACTGTTCAATGATAGCTGTGGCCTTCCACGTGCCATTGAACTGGGTTTTGGTGGAGGTGATGGGGCTTGGAGTGCCAGGAGTGGCCATGGCGTCGGTGCTGACTAACCTGAACATGGTGGTGCTGATGGCAGCGTACGTGTGGTGGGGATGGAGGCAGGGGGAGATGAGATGGACGGCTGGGATTGGAGATTTGTGTGGTGGGATTGGACCACTGTTGAAGTTGGCAGTGCCAAGCTGCTTGGGCATATGTTTGGAGTGGTGGTGGTATGAGATTGTGATTGTGATGGCTGGTTATTTGCCAAATCCTACTGTCGCTGTGGCCGCCACTGGGATTCTTATTCAGACCACTAGCATGATGTACACTGTCCCCATGGCCCTTGCTGGCTGTGTTTCTGCCAGGGTAAGTTCTCTTCCCTAATAATTATTCTCTCTCTCTTTTATTATTACTTGGCTAATTTGGAGCAATCATCCTTCAACTACGAACACACTTTCGTGCTTAAACTCCAAAAATAGTTGCGTTCATCCGCAAATTACTAAAAAAATTAGCAGAATTGACGGAAAGGTCACTAGTGCAACGCATAACTTAATTTGAGGACAATAACAACTATTTTTCTTGTTTAAAAATAAAAATGTAACTCGAGATATGAGATCATTGCTATAATTTAGCCTATGATTATTATGGGGCTTATTTGTTTTGCCCGTTACACAATCATATGTTAGTGGCCTTTCCGGGCTCCTTGTATTATAAGGAGCCCAAAAAGGAAAACATAAAACTTCTTGTTCGAAATTAATTATATATAGTTAGACTTATGCTACTAGCAACTAACTCTTAGTTTAGTGAATTTTTTTTCTTTAAAACGTTGAAAAATATCGCAAGTTGAATCTCCGATAGGATTCTAGTGCTATAGCTGCTATTTTATACATGATTTATTAGGTATAGAGACTCATTTGTGATGAAAATGTTGTCCTACTATAGTCTTTTAGGATGAGTAAACATGCTGAATGGTCCCCCTATAAACACACATATTTTTGTATAGCAACATTGCCAAGACAAAAGTAGAATAAATTCTTCGGTTTTCGAGTTGCAATTATTTGGTTTTTTTTTTAAATTAGCAAGTCTTCATCTAAACCAACAAATAAATAAAACAAAGAAAATAGGAAAGTAGAAAGAAAAAAGAAATGAATATATTCCAACTCTCGAAGTGGAAATTAATAAAAGTTTTATGGGGAGATATGCTTTCAATCTGTTTGCGGGATTGCATCACTTATATGCAACCAGATAGGTCACACTTGTAATGTGACAGGACAAACTTGGTATAGGACACGCAAGTACCTGTTAAATTTACTCTCAATTGCTCCTTTAACATAAAGAGCTCCCCCACCACTTCTATGACGAATCCATTCAACCAACAAAAGAAAGTGAACCAGCCAACAGCCCATTTCTCAGACACATGTTTACTATTCATAGGCCCAGTACAATATCTGGGATTCTGGGACCCATCAAATATGAAAACGCAGATTTCAGTGGTAATTAATGATCACAATTTCGTTGAGGAGACAATGACATTCTTGTCAGTGAGTGCTTGGAGCAGTAGCACGTGCGCGTGTGTGGATAACTCTCAGCTGTTGGTGCAGTGAAGCTTACACTTGCATCAATAGTTGCACGCAGGTTGAGGCGTACAGACTGTAACTAGCAAAATTCTGCCTGTTATGTATTTGCTTCACTAATACAATGTTTCTATGTTTCAATGTTCGCGTATATTTTGCAGGTTGGGAATGAGCTTGGTTCGGGCAACCCGTACAGGGCCAAGCTAGCAGCCATGGTAGCATTGGGATGTGCATTTGTGATTGGCATCGTCAATGTGACATGGACGGTGATTCTTAGAGAGAGGTGGGCTGGCCTGTTCACCAAGGACGAGCTGGTCAAAATCTTGGTTGCATCAGTTATGCCAATTATGGGGCTTTGTGAGTTAGGCAACTGCCCTCAAACTACTGGCTGTGGCATCCTACGTGGCACAGCGCGCCCGGCTGTGGGTGCCCGTATCAATTTGGTCTCCTTTTATTTTGTGGGCACTCCAGTCGCGGTCGGGCTAGCCTTCTTGCTCAAGGTAGGGTTTGGAGGGCTTTGGTTTGGCCTTTTATCTGCTCAGGCGGCTTGTGCTGTGTCTATTCTCTATGTTGTGCTGGTCAAGACTGATTGGGAGGCTGAGGCTTTGAAGGCCAAGATGCTCACAGGCTTGGAGATGGGGGTTTGCAATGGGGTGAAAGAGAAAGGCCATCAAAATGATGAGGAAAACAGGTTGTTGATGCATGGAGATGGCAATAACAATAATAATATAGATGATGAGATTTTTTAGGCTTATGTGGGGATGGGTTTCGATGTGTTTTGACTTTTTTGATGTGACCGGCCTTATGGGGCTCTCTGCTTTTGTTGTGTAGTTGCTTTAATTACTTTTTTTTTGGTTTAGGATGAAGGGGCATGCGTGGATTTTTGTGTTTTGGCTTTGTGTGAGAGCTGCCTTTTAATTAGTTTTCATGGGCACTGCCATATGGGTCTCCTGTTTTGTCGCTAGGGACAGTGTCACTCTCCAGGGTCCAGGCAAGTGTATGGCATGGTACTTCAAAGAAAGATATTTAATATGAGGGTTTAGGGCCAGGCATGCCTATATTTAATATTCAGACCAAAAAGAAAATATTCAAAATGGCCAGGCATGCATTCAGAATTCAAAAATGACTATGACTAACTTCTACGCCTAAAGAAGAATATTTTGTAACTTTTAAGCCAAAATAGTTTTGTATCGAGTATAAAAGTTACAAAATTTCCTTTTTTAGGCCTAAAAGTTAGAGCATCTCCAACCGAATGCAAGGCCCAACTTAATGAGAAATTATTAAGTGATACGGTATCATCACGTCAGCTGGTGATATTCCTACTCAAAATCTGCCACGCATCTTTTTTGAAAAGAAAATTAAATTTTTTTCACTGTTGGACTTTGTCTTCCAACTTTACCCTTAATAAAATAAAATAAAATTTGAAAAAACAGGAAAAAGAAAACAAGAAGATTGTAGCAGTTTCCCTTATTCGCAATCTGCCTACCTTGCACTGTTGCCCCTTGGCTGTAGTCCCCCTCTAATAATATCAACATCAAACATACCTTTCTTTCACTAGTGGGTTGTCATCATAGGAGATTTTGAAGATTTTTGTTTTATGTTTCATGATTTTCAAGATTTGTGTTTTCTTATACGTTTAACTTTTTACCAAGAATGGGAGGCACGGAAAGGCCGGGTGGGTGGCGAGGGAGGAGGGAAGACGACTGGGTGGCGAGGGAGATGCAAAGATAGCTAGGTGGCGTCGATAGCACAGGGAAGACGGGGGAGAGGGGTTAGGGTAATTAATGTTGAAGGGTAAACTTGTAAGAAAAAGTCCAGGTGTAAATTCTTTTTAATTTTCTTTTCAAAAAGGACACATGGCAGATCTTGAGTGGGAGTATCATCAGCAGAGATGGTGATACCATATCACTGTATAATTTCTCCAACTTAACACCTTATGTTTGTTGATTAATTAATGTCCATTAATAAATCTTCAATTAATCCTAATAAATTGACCTAAATCACCTTTAATGTTTTTCCCAAATCTTAACCTAATTGGTGTGTGATTCAATGTTCTAATTAGCAAGTATGGGTGGTTGCGGTTCGATTACCCCAACTTTTCAATGAAACGGTGAACCATATTGTAGTATAGTAAAAAGACGAAACATGAACCGACTGACATAAGAGTTTGCTTATGCTTAAAAATACTGTTGAAATAAGCAGAACTTTTTATCATTGGCAATGATTCTTTAACTCATATACGGAGAGAATGAACTTTATTATTAAAAATAAACCAATACAATCCACAATCCTCCTAAAGCACAATTAATCAACTAAATAGTTGATTGCAAGTTAGAGATTATCTCGGCTAACCCACTAATAACAACATAACAAAATTACCAACACAATCGATGAGTTTGCAATACTAATTGAAACCCATGTTCCTACTAGATAAAGTTTAATTATTTACTAATTAAGTTATATTAATTCACTAAATATTCAAATGATATTTTTTTAAGGTTGAGATTTAAAAAAAAAAACAATAGAGGGAATTTCAAGAGATTGGCGGAGAATACACTTCATTAGTAATA